GCCGGGGGTGGTGGGGGGCGATGGCGTGGGGGGGAGCTGAGGCTGCTGGCTGCCCCCCCTCCCCGGTTCTGACCCTGGGCCTCCCACTCCCCCTGCAGTGAACTCAGATGCCCGCCCCAGGGGGGTGCCCTGCGCTCCCGAGACCCACTGCCAGGGTTCGGGTCCCAGCTTTGCCACGTGGCAGCCGTGCCTCAGTTTCCCTGTTGGTCAAACCGTGTACCGATCTCAACCACATGCCTCAAGGGGCGGTCACGAGGCTGGAAGTGGGCTGTCTCGGGTCCCTCGTCTGCGCGCTGCCCGTTAGCGTTCTCGGTCGTGCCTGTCCCACTTACACACGTGTTTACAAAGCTCAGTATTCTCCCGACGGCCTTGGCCACCTCCAGGCCAGACCCTTCCCGGATGGAAGTCCCTCCCCTAGAGGCGGGGTGGGATAAGTAGGCCCCCTCCCCCTCGGAGCTCCACCATCTGCAAGCAGCCCCTGAAGCCTGGGGAGGAAAGCCCCCAGCCCCCCAGCACTAGGCCTGGGCGGGAAACGCTCTGCGCCTGCCCCGCCCCCGCGCGCCAGGCCTCCGCGTTGCCATGGGGACTGCGCGGTTGCCTGGGCGACCGCCTCCCGCGGGCCCCGCCATCCATCACCCGCACAGGCAGCGGCGCCCAGGGTGGGGAGGCTCCTCCAGCACCCCTAGGCTTGGGGAGCGTGCAGGGGGCACGCGGCGCGGGAAGACATGGGCCGAGAGCACGGAAATTGCCCCTAGGGTCTGGTTAGGAGAATGGCCCCTCGTGCTGGCCCCTCCCGCCCGCTTGACCTTGTCCTGCCCTCCACTGCCCCACAGGGACAGGCCTCTGAGACACTGTCTGCCTTGTAGTCGCTGGCCCGGCCAGCCGGCCACACAGCCGTCTCTGTGTCCCTACTTCCGGCCTGCATGGCCACCCGATGCCTGGATGGGGACCCGTGGGGAGCTGCCCTATCCTCAGCGGGGCCCAGCTGTTGGGCGTCCCAGCTGCTCTGGGGGGCCCTCTCTAGTGAAGGGGGTTGTGCTGTAGCTCAGCAGTGGGCTGTGGTGAGTTCGAATCCCTGCTCTGCCATTTTCTAGTCCCGTGGCCAGCCGCTGAGCCCTGTGGACCTCTGTGCCCAGCCGTAAGAGGGACAGCAGGCAAGGCCCTGAGGCAGGAGGGCCTGTGAGTGGAACAGAGTGGATGGGCGGTGGGGGACAAGGGAGTAGGGCAGAGAAGCGGTCCCTCATGGGCCTCTGGGTTTTATCCGTGGGACCATGGGTGCCACAGAAGCCTTCAAGCATGGGAGTGAACTTTCGAGACTCAGCTTCTAGTTCTGGAGTGGAGGGGCCACTGTCTGGAACCAGGGAGGCAGCAGGAGGTGGTAGAGGCCTGGGCTGGTGCCAGCATGTGGAGCAGGAGAGAAATGACCAAATGGGGTGGGCCGGTGTGGGGAGCCCCACCTTGGGTCTGGAATTCTGCTGCTCTGGCTCTTCAAGAAAAACCATTCACAGGGACTGCTGGATCCAGCCTTTCCTGTACTCCATGGGGCCCCCTCTAGCCTCGCAGAGGAGGGTGTGGCTGGTGATGCCAGGGGGGGGGGCAGGGAGGCACAGAGAGAGTCAGGTGCTGCCCAGCAGGAAGGGAGGTACAGGGTGGGGTGGCCAGGCTGGAGCCAGGGAACAGCCCGACTTCACAGACCTCGGCAGGGTCAGGAACCCAGAACCCAGTGGGGTGGGAGGGGTGCTGCCCGGGGCTGGCCGCTGCTCACAAGGAACCACTGTCCAGGTGGGGCCTGAGTGCTGGGGGTGGTCAGTGCCTACTCTGCCCTGGACCCTGGGGAAGGGAAGGGAGAAAGAGGAGGCTTTCTACTCCCATGAAGAGGGCTTGCCTCAGAAACCGGTCCTCTCCGGCCGCTGAGTTTGTCTTTTTGGGTTTGGATGATGCAGGTGGGGGCACGTAACCCCAGTGCATAGAACGGAGGTGTCTGTTCCAACCTGTGTGTGCAAATGGGGAAACTGAGGCCCACGGAAGGGGTGGGGGCTCTTCAGAGGAGAGAGGGCGGGTCAGAGGCCATGAACAGCAGGCTTGTTTGTAATTTCAGCCCCTGGGAAGATAAGGGGCAGGAAGGGGAGGCTGGGAAGGTGTGCAACACGCCCCCCCTCACCCCGCTCCCATGCTGCCAGGCCCTGCCCCAATTAGACTGGGCCTCCTGCCCATCTGCACTGCCAGGAATGGACAACTGCCCAAGGGTTACTGGTGACAAAGTCAGGAGGCCCCTGCCTCACCGCCCTCCTGGTGTCCCCGGTCACCTGGAACAGCTACCTCAGCCTGGAGATCTGAGCTGAGGAAACTGAGGCCCAAGTGTAACCTGGCCTCTTACTAAGCACCCGTGGGTGCGGCTTCCCAGGAGGCAGGGAGAGAGCAGTGAGGTTTCAAAAGTGACCACCCCCATGCCTGCAGGCCAGCATTGGAGGCAGGAGGTGGGACAGCCAGAGGAGGGGAGGGAGGGCGGGGCTGGCTAGGGATTGGGGTGCTTGGGTGGTGGACACAGCGCTGATTCCCAAGCTGCACTGGGCTATGAGGTGAGGGGGTTTGTCCCAGGGGAGCATGGGAGACCATAGGGATCCCCAGGTTCTGCCCTGGAGTAGAGAGGCAGGGTTCCAGAGAGCCACCTGGGCTGGAAGGGAGCTTTTCCTCTACGGACCCCCCCATTCCCACACGGAAGCGTGTCTGTGTCCAACCTAGTCTGGCAGCAACACAGCCTACACCCCTGGGGCTGATGCTCAGGGGCCCCCAGGTGGGATGTGGGCAGGTGTCTGGCTGAGTCCATGCTGCTGCCTCCCTGAGTGTCCTAGGGAGACGTGCTGCTCTCTGGGCCTTGGGGTTCCATGGACCCCAGTGTAAGTCAGTGTGAGAGGTTCCCAAATCCTGGAATTCTTTTGGGGGGGGGCGGAGTGGACTCGCATGGGTAAGAGACTGGGGGAAGGGGGCCGTCCTAATCATCCTTCTCTGCTGAATGAACTCCTACACATCCCTGGAGTGCCCTTTGAGCCTAAAGCCTCAGTGCCCTTTGAGCCTAAAGCCCTCCAGAGCCCACAGCGGGGGGTCTTCCCTCTGTGCCCTCAAACATGGGGCTGCTGTGTGGATCTGTGAGGCTGAAGGGGCAGGCACTGTGACCCACTGGAAGCTCAGAGCTGCCTCTGTCCCCATCTCCCACCTGGAGGTCTGGCTGGATGCAGGGTGGGAGCCCCCCAGGCCTGACCTTGTCCCTCCTGTCCCCCAGGGTCCTGGCGACAGAGACCAGCTCGCAGCAGGAGCGGCTCCAGGCCATCGCAGTGAGTGCCCATGTCCCCAGGGGCGAGTGGGCGTGGGGCTGGGGTCTCAGTCCCCATGGCCCCCATGTGATGTGTTCAAGTGGTGCGGAGCATGTGGGGGAGCGGGCCCGCGTGGTGCAACTTACAGGAACCCCCTTGGCCCACCATTGAGCGTGGAAACTGAGGCTGTGTGTTGCACCCCCGACCCCGCCCTTGCTAGCAGCCATGGGTTCTGAGGATGGGCGGGGGCAGAAGGACCAAGAGGTGGGAGTGGGCTGGGGCCAGGGTCCTGATTGCCGCCCTCCCCCCAAAAGGAGAAGCGGAGGCGGCAGGCAGAGATTGAGAACAAGCGCCGGCAGTTGGAGGACGGCCGGAGACAGCTCCAGCACCTGAAGGTGGGGCGCTCTGCAGAACCCCCTGGAGCTGGGGACCCCGGCTCCGCTGACTTCTGGGGGAGGAGGACCCAAGAAGGGACCCTGACCCTGACTCCATCCCGACCTCACCCCCATCCTGACCCTGAGTGGCCCCAATCTGAGTCCTGACCCTGATACCCCACCCCCCACCCCCCAGTCCAAGGCGCTGCGGGAGCGATGGCTACTGGAGGGGACGCCGTCCTCCGCCTCCGAGGGGGATGAGGCCATGCGGAAGCAGATGCAGGAGGACGAGCAGAAGGCCCGGCAGCTGGAGGAGTCCGTGTCCAGGTGCGGCCTGCTGGGGAAGCTGTGCTGAGGCTGGGCTGCCTGCCTGTCCCCTCCGGCCCTTCCTCTCTGACACCCTCCTGGGAAGCAGGTGTGGCCCCTGGAGCCCGCCTGTCCCCCAGAGTGTGGGAGGTGGTGTCTTTGGCATCGGGGGCTTCCTGGCGCCAGCCCAGCTGGCGACTGAGGGAGCCTGACGTAGCCCCTGCAGCTGGGGCTGCAGGAAGCCGGAGGGTGGAGGGGCCTTTCCTGCTGGGCTGCAGCAAGGGCGGGG